CACGTGAAAGATAAAAATAGTATCTTCACTGCGCGCGATGAAGATATGATTTTTAAGTAAAAAGAAAAATCCTGGTATTTCATCACTATCTATGTAACAAATTGCTTTTCTTCGAAAAAAAATTAAAACTGGCTATCACCAAAAGCTCCTCTCACAGACTATAACAGCTGGATAAACAATTTCAGACTCCTGTAAAACACACAGCTGTTGTCTTTCTTATGGACTCGATCGTTCAAAAACGAATAATCACTTACAGTTACAAATATCTGAAATAAAAAATTTAATAGGTTTGGCACTTATTTTCACTGAAATATTCCTTGGTGTTAAACTCAGCATGCCTTGATTCGTGATAGTTTCTTTAAAGATAAACTAATTCTACAAAGCACTCTTGGATTGATCTTATTACCATTCCATCTGTGACGAAATTTTGAACCCTTGCGCGGTTGCTTTCTTCTTTATAGCCCAGCACGGCTAGGAGCCAATTTCAAGACATTTTAGAGATCGTGACGAATTCAGCTATTCCGAAATATGTAAGCCTTTTTTTCCTTAGATACTATCTACAAATAAATAGCTTCAAAAAGTGACGATTATGTGCATTATAACTAACAGGTGATCAAATAATCGAATAGGTACATGAATATTCCAAAAGTTTGCGCTTTTACGGTTAAGATAACATTTTCGTGTCAACTTACTAACTACAAAATCGTAACCTAACTGCTCGGAACTGCAATGAAGTTAATGTTGGTTATTTTATCCTTTGCCGTTATTGGCATCACGACAGCCATGCACATGGTAGATATAAAGAGAGATGCACCGCTGAAAGATCCAGAGATGAAAAGAAAGATCGAGGACTTGATAGCCGTAAGTATTACAAACAAGGACAAGAGTGATTAAGAAAACGAGTGCGTAAAGTTCGTGGCTTCCTGAGGTGAAAATATCCACTTTTACCACGAAAAAGGAATCTTTTTTTTGTTTTTATAAAGGGTTTATTAAGTATTACTGAAACAGTGAGTGAAATCTGAGTTCGTTTTTAATGAATGCCGTTCCTAATAGCTTTATGTTTAAACTCGCTACTGTCGTAATTTTAAAAAAATTAGCTTCTGAAAGGAGAGAGGTCATCCTATTAGGGAAAAATTATCGTTTTCAATTGAATTGAGAACTCCTCGTTACAAACAAGGTGCAATTGTGATTATTGTAAGAATAATACACTGCAACAAATTAGGATTATTATCTCGGGCCGACCGCATTTCACATTTTTTAAGCTTATCCATTTTCAGATTTCTTCGATTTTTCCCTTTGAATGGCCTTTTCAACCTTCTGATCTTCTTTTTTTTTTTTTCTTTAAGAGGAACTAGGCCTGAGATTGCCCATTATTGGTTTGGTTGTATTATACTTACTAGCTTTTGAAATACACGAACAGTTATGAAATTCAGTATATATTATCTGAATGTGGTGTTTCGGTTTACTCTTATTCCCTTAAAACTGCACGTAGTCATAAAAATTTTTTCATATCTTGGCGTTAGTCACTGATTTCGCAGCGAAGTAGTCGTTTTGTAGTTTTCAGTGTGACGAGTCAAGGGAAGAACGAGGCGAACGCGATAGACGCGGATGACAAGCGAGAGGAACAATACTGATATATGCCTTCGATCACCTTAAAGCGCAAAATTGATCGCGCCAGTTTTGCATGCCAACGCAGCGCCCCTTTTGGCATCAACTTACGGCTTAGTGAGCTGAGTTTATTCAATAGAACAGTTTTCAATTGTCAGTCGAAAATAATCAGAACATGCATCTGGTTTTTCTTTACTCGGCGCGGAGATTAGTCTCAAAAACCCGCGCCTCCTTCTCAAACCAACCCGAATCAAAACTGAAACCAATCGCGATTTGGTCACTCCTAGTTTCCTGCGCTTTAGGCAGTTAACCTGTTTTACTTTGATTTTCCATCAGCGTATTTCGATATCTTCATTTACTTTGATTGGCTGTTGTACAAGACTGCTGCGGTTTCAGCTTTACGACGCGCAATCGAAAAAGGCGATCTTAGATCAAAAGTCAACATCAATTGAGGTCAATCCAATGTGTTCATTGTTGATGTTTGTATTGCAGGAAAGTCTAACGAAGCTGCATAAATGTCTATCGGACACAAAAAAACTGAAACAGTGCTTCAAAGACTTCCACACAGACCTGAATCCTCCTCCCGCGGCCGTAAGTACCTCATCCTATTAATTTGATAAACTTTCCGCTTCAAAGTCATAACGACATCAACTCAAGACCTCATAATTACATCAATTTATCCAAGTTCCCTTGACATGAAACTGCAACTGAGGATATCCTCTCCTTCCACTAGCTCATGTGCTAGTCCATAGCTACAACTTCCCCTCCCCTCCCCCTCCCCCTCCCCCACCTCTTTCCCCTACCCTCTCCTTACACTAATCAGGTACCGAGCCAAGATCAGGGGTAAGGTCGTCGACCATTTAAAAACAGGTTCTCGAAGAAGTCAGACCTCTAAATGGTGACCAAGAAGAGATGAGGACAAAGCAAGTTAAAAACAAATGTTCCCCATCCCCTCCGCTCCCCTACCTTTTGACCGTCGCCCACTGACCGCCTTGATACAATTTCTTTTCTCTCCTGAGCCTTCCGCTGCAGTAAAAATCTCTGCTGGCCGCTATAATTTTCACTAAGACTGAATACTGAGTACTCGCTCGCTAAAATTACGTCTGCTGTGCAGGTTTAATAGCAGAGCTCGCAGAACGTAGCCCCATAATTATACAAAATAGCAGTAACCCATCAAGCCGAAAAAATTTGGACTTACGACCGTCCGACCGACCGTACAAGATGCTACTTTTACCATGCGTGGTCAACTGTACCGCGGGAACACCAACGCCACGGCTTTGTCCAGTAATCTAGTCGGGTCAGTGCACTGAGCTCCGAGTCGGACGACCCGTGTTCTAGTCCTGGCCGAGGCAAGGCGTTGTGCCCTTAAGACGTGCGGGAAAAAAAATGCGAGCTCCGCTTTTAGGCTTGGCTAAATCTATATATTAACTGTAAGATTCTGTATTATTTTAATGTACAGAGCTCCTGTACATTAAAATTACATTTGCTGCGCAGGCTAATAACTGTTAGATTCTGTATTCTTTCAATGTACAGAGCTCCTGTGAGAACAAGTTTGAGGGATGCTACACCAAAGCGATCCAGCATCATAATGGAATGACATGCCTTAAAACTTTTCTCAGATGCCTGGAAGAAAACGTGTCATTTGAGTAAGACGACCCGGCGTTTTCTTTGTGACGGCAGATATGGAGAATGAATGATTCAGTGAACATGAATAAAGCTATTTTTAAAGTGTCGTTCGCCATGTTCTTACTTTCGATTGAGTTTCACCTCAGTCGATTTGTAGATAACTAAATTTAACCCCATCCCTGTTGAAGAGCTAATTTTCGTTCGAGACGATGGCAACTTTGGAAAGAAACCATTGCATCATGACTTATTGAGACGTCAGTTTTGGAGGAGCGCGATCTAAGCCTCGCGCGTCGCGAGTTACTGTGTGACTCTCAAAACTGTAAACACTTTGATTTCATTTCAGCAGGTTAAAAATTGTTCTGGCACATCGCAACAAAGATAAGAACACGTGAGAAAACTTCAAACCACAAACCACTGAACCGTTTAGTTTATACTTAATGTTTCCCTGGAACACAATAACATTCAACAAATATTTTGATGATCGCGGTTTTCAGAGTTGCACAGTATAGTCAGTCTCATATGTATCTTTAACCTCAGTTTATCTCCACTCATATTCTCCCTTTGATAACTTGATTTGCTTATCTACTTTATCTTAGATATTTTGACTCTGATTGATATTTTCAAGGTTATACAAGCATTACTGGTCGAATAACTATAATTAAGAGGTCTACATCCATATAAAACAAAGACGTACTTACAAAATTGCATTTTTCAACGTTAGTCAGTAGCGATTCATTATAGAGTGAACTTTGATTGACGTGATATGATGTGATTTAAGATGATAAACTTTATTTATTCAGGGTAGCCCATTCAGCAAAGAGGTTCTAATGTTAACTAACAATGCTGTCCTACAATAAAAACTACTAATTACATATGATAACTACAAATATATTCCTATAAATATATAAGATACAATAATAAAAGGTCATAGAAGATTTAGAGAGCGTCTTAATCTAATTTAGATGTCGTAATCACGACAGCAAATCAAAATTAAGGAAAATATCACAACGAACCAATAAGAAATCAAAGTAAGATCATGCAATTTGCCTGAAAATTACTCAAAGCCGTTCAGTGTTCGGTATCAAACGGTCACCGTCATTCAGTTTCCAGTTACTGAGGGTAAATTATGATCCTGTGGCTGTTGATTATAAAATGGCCGTGGTAGGACTGAGTGGAATAGATCTGATTTCCCTCTTTTTTCGTTTCCACTCATGATACAAAATGTTTATGAAGAGTCACGATAAAAAACTTATAGGGATTTAAAGCATTGACGACAGCGACGTCGAGAGGGCGTTGATCAAAAGAATAAGTTTACGTCCCTTAAATAGTTTCAAGGTTAGCTCATTGAATTAAAGATCTCTAATGACGTCAGATCTCCTCTCTAGCAACAAGTGAAGGCAGCTTGCCCGAGCCATTGTTCTGCTATTTTTTCTCCTCGTTCTCGTTTGTGTCGTATCGCACTTTGCTTTAAGTCTTCCCGTGACTTTCTCAACTCGGTTTAGTGTTGTCGACGTCTTCTATAAGCTCGTGTACAGGCACATGACTGTGGATCCTCCTTCAACCCGAACGGGCACCTGGGACACTTGCACCTACAGGTCTTAGGATCACGCACCTTTGCACGATTTTTGCAACGTTTCTTACTGCACGTGCACCGGCACGATTCCATATCAAACTCGACACGTTTTGTGCACTCGGCTCTAACTGCATTACTTGGACTACATATGCACTGGCATTTTATGGGATCCCAGCGGTGGTTGCGTGGACAAGGCATAAAACCCCTTACGCAATCGCACCTGCAGTTTTCTTTAGAGTAGCGTTGGGTTCGATTATCACAATCAGAAGGTTTAACTTTACATTGACACGAACAACTCGAGTGATTCGTCATGCGGACTGGGGTAATTTCATTTGAGGTCTCGTCCAGTCTGTCTGATGATGAAGACCAAGAAGTCTTGCTCACAAGAAGGTTGAAGTCTTCTTTTTCTGTGTGGCAAAAAAAAACATATATGTAACGCGCTTTTCGAATGAGTGTCGTAAAACCCAAACCGAAACCGAAGTTACAGAGTAAGTATCAATTGAATGCCGAAAGAAAGCCGCCACTGCTTTGGTTTTACATCGTCCCATCATATGTAAATCCAAAAACAATCGCGACTTGGTCGCTCGCGTTTTCAAGCGCTTCAAGAAGTTGTTTGTTCTCACTTTGAGTTCTAATTGGCTGATGATAATGTGACTCTTCGTCGTAATTGGTCGCTGGGTTTACTTTGGTTTTGCTTTTTTCGACACTCAATTGAAAACTGCTCTGTGATTGGCTGATCAGAGCAAAGCGCAGCAAAGAACTTAGAAGGGACAGGGTTTGTGGGGGAGAAATTGTTTTTCTTCAGGGGTAAACTTGTAAAGGTGGTTTGGAGCAAACTTGCAGTTGGACAAAACCTCCAGATATATGAGATAATACGAATAGTTTTAGCTCATTCCTGAGATTTTCTGAACCAATCAGAGAGTGAAGAAGGATCCACTCCCGCTAATTCTAGACCGTTTTTCTTATAGGCAACTTTTGGATTTGATTCAGATCCAGGGGGGTTAACCTCGCAAATAATTTTCTTGGTTTTATTTCTCCGAATACTCTTATAACAGAATCCAGGTCTCTTAAGATTTCAATTCCTGGGTGAGACTGAATGCTTAGTAATAACAGTAGTTTAAATTTTTATAGAGAGTAAGAGAGATGGTAAGTTTTGAGCTCGGTAAAGAAATAGAGAAACGTGTCTTTTCGACTTGTCACGAACGTGTGACATATGAACTTCGTAATAGGCTTCGCTCACCTTCGCAAAGAGTCTCTGTGGCCCAGAGGTAGATCATAGGAGCGCGGAATCGGAAGGTCTGAGGTTGAATTCCGCATGAGGACTCAGAAAAACATCTTTCTCTATAGCTATTTAACTAGTGATCCATTTGACTTACCTTGCAGTTGGCAACTTGTTTCAAACGGCCTGGCGCCGCAGGAGCCGCCACAACGGTGTAAGGTCACAAAGAAAGGAAAATAGAAAGCATTTTCATATTTAGGCTGAGGTACTTCTATAACCTCAGGACGCGGAGCACAACGGGCATCATCCAAAATGACATAGGGAAGATTAGAATCCTGGAGAACTCTTGCCAGTTGGCTCGGAATCTCAGCTATGAAGCGAAAATAATCAAAGATTAGCAATGCCTTAACTTTCAACTCCCACAAGGGACCAAGATAGAATTTCTCCTTACAATATCAATGCAATATCAAGCAGACAAGTGATGAGAATAAAGAAAAATATCATCAGTTAGGGGATTAAAAGTTGATTCGATACCAAAGTCTCCAAAGTAACGTCACAAGAACTGTACGGCAGACAGTAAGGAGAATTACTAATGAGATCTTGAGAGTTAAAGGGTTGATTCAAACAAAGCTTCGAAATTTAGTTTTCCAAGACTGTCTCTCTGTCAAGAGAGTCACTGCCAATCGTCTATCGGGTAGTGTTCAATAAAATCGCCTGACCGTTTTTAAACTGTTTTTGAGACGAGTGGTATCAGGATTAAACCACATTTTTCTTAGTTTTTGTTTTTGTTTTTTCAAAATAATAACTTTAACTGAAAACGTGGGCGGATTTTCAATTTAAATCATCAGAATAAAAGTTAGCTTACGTTTCTTAGGTGAATGAAGATCACCAGAACCCTTGGGCTTATGTCGCAGACCTAAATTAAAAGACAAGTGATCAGTCAAACAACAGCAGTGATCTCAATAAGCGGACTACTTTACCCTTCCTTCCCCTTCTATCATTTTGGAAAGAAAAAAAAAGAACCTTTATTTCCTATTTAAGATTGAATTGAACAATTAACATTGCCCTGTCAGAAAGTTCGTCTTCTTGGGACGCCTTCTCTCTTATTATTTGCACTAATCAGCAGCAACGTTGAAGTAAAAGTAGTTAGCTTTCGTAGAGAAGTGGCCTTTATAGCGAGCTCTTTGTAAGAAATAAACATTGATCTCCACAGAAGCTAAAATAACGAAGACTTGCTTTTGAAGGCTTGATATGACTATGACTGCAAATTAAAGTAATGACAAGCTTACATGAATGAACCACCCTTAAAAACGTCTAGTTTCTCGCACCTTTAGTGCCTCCGCTAGGGACCCCTATTGCATTTATGACGGCTCTCAACTTTTCAGCATTCATAGCTCGCAGGAAAGAGTCCAAGGAAGTTACGTCGGCCATAACATTCCTCAATTCTGTCGGCATGGCTACCTTCCTTACCTGTAATAAAACAAATACAATAGGTTAGCGGGAAAGAAGCCACAGCGAGCGAGAAGCCACAAAATGTTAGGGCGCTTTTCGAGTGTGTGCCTCAGAACCACTTGGACGAGTGGGTGGCGCGAGCTTTTTTTGAACTAGTCATAGAGTGTGGAAAGTTACAAAGCAAAAGCGTATGTTTCTCGTTTTGCCTCCGACCTTAATCGCTGTAATTCGGTAAGATCAAGGGAACAATCTCTTGGACAGATACAAACAAAAACAAGCTAGGCTGAAAGGCGCAAAGGGAAAGAGGATGAATGAAAAAAAAAAACGATTAACAGGGAAAACGGTTGAAAACCGGAAAAATTTGCGGCGGTAACGAACTTCCAGGGCGATTGCCCCAAAACTGTAGGTAAAAATAACTCATGCGAGAAAACAATGGTTTCTGTGCAGAGGAAGATGGAAGCAATTGGAGGGAGGTGGCTGACAATGTGATTCGTTTTAATCATCCGACCTTCGCAAGCGAAAAATACTGAATGACCAGGCCTTTGCCATGACGGGAAAAAAGTGCTCAGCTCAGGTAGAGCGCTGACTACCGATAAAAATAGCTCGGTTACCGGAAAGAAACTTGAACCGAAAACTCCTTTTTCATCGCGTTAGACGAATGGCGCCCAGCTGAAACCTTTTTTATGGACAATAGTTGAACTTAAATCTAAGCTCTGCATCGAGCATAAATTTCCTTCACGAACATAAGAAAAAAATTTTGCTCTACACTAAGCCATCGCGAGTACAGAACTTAGATGAAGAGGCTCGGACAAGTGTCAATTTCAATTCGTCTTCTTTTTTTTTATTTTTATTTTTTTGCCTTTTTCTAAATAACGTGATGAAAGAATCCAGCTTTGCACCAGAATCTTCACTTCCTTCAGCTGAAACAATTTCCCTCACCTTAAATCACATTTGCGTTAACTTTTTGTTGAATCATATCGAATGTGGATTATTTGTTGTCATTTACGCTTGAGTGGCCACAATATTAGAGCTTTGTGAATTTTTATTTTTCCGCATAAAGCCAGAATGTCACAAGAAGATAGATGTGGAACTATTTTAAAAATAGCCACATGCAGATCGAACGTTATAGCGGCAATTTCTTATAAACAACGTTTTTATTTTTTTATTGAAGACATCTCGGCATGATCACGGATTTCGTCTGATCTAGACCGTTTGATTCAGTTGAATAATTTTAACAACTGTCATTTCTACTTTGACCTTTAAAGCATGGTCTCATAAAAGCAAACAAAACAAAACACTCGTTATGAAGCTAAGATTGTACGTGATTAAGACTGAAACGATTCTAGCGATAGGAATGCATGAAAGTGAGAGAGGTAGGTATGTTTTCTTTGACATGTTTTGTTTGATTTTACGGGAATCAACCTTCCGGAACGGGGAACGGACGGAATCCAAATATTACGAAGAGAATAAAATACGTTATAGGTTGACATAAACTCAGGAATTAGAGATACTCACGTTATTAGCGTGGGTTAAACTGATGAAAAAACATAAACACATCAATGTCTTCATCCTGATCCTCTCAGCTGAGGACTAATCGCACAGACTTAAGTCGTTATCAAGTTCAAGCGCTGTCAACTACCAACAACTTGGGTAGCGTTGTTTCTTATATACTGCGTTAATGCTATTATAATCTTAGCCCCCAATTACGTCACAATTGCGGCGGCTTTATGTTGATCTGGATTGATCACGCGTGACTTACAGAGTTCCTGTTTTGCTTTGCCATAATGAATTTATCGCGGTTCTTGTTGAAACGGACGAAATCAGTTTTATCGTGCAAAATTATTGTTCTTAGAATGTGAAGGTGTGATATGGTGGTTTTTTTGGGTCATCTTAAGATAATTTTACAACTCGTTATGTGTTTAAAGCCTGGTAAACAGATGATGAAAAACAATGACCGGATGCTACATTGTGTAGAGCCATTTCCGATTGGTAAGGCGTGACAGATGTATTAATGATCACACTAATACTGTGTCAATCAACACGTGGCACTGGCTTGACTCTTTTTAAATTGATTGCAGCATTTTAGATGTACATCTCGAAAGCAAGCGAGACAACTGATATTTTCACAAAAAAAGGCTCCGCAAACTGAAATATTTTGTATTCTTGTGTCGCGTGTTGCCAGATCAGTTTGATAGTTCCGTTTCATATTGTAAATACCCTTTCAGTGGGGAAGTAAAACCAAATGGGCGGAAACACCCTTTAAGCGAAATGGGATAGTGAAACCGGAACCATGGAATGATATGAAAAGAGATAAAACGGGGAAATTTTTGGACATATTGGAACAACTTCCCTTTCTCTATAGTTAGACAAGTCTTTAACGTATTCTAAGATACGACTGGCCGAGTATTATTCACCCGCAGGTCGCAACTAGCTATATAGGCCTGTCCTGATCTCGATTGTGCTCGTAAAGTGCTGGAGAATTGCTCTCTGGAATGCCAAAAAATTGCTAAGAAATTGCCAAAAGTCCATAAAGCTGTTAGCTAAATTACAAAAGTTGCCTTTTAAAAATTTGGATATTTTATATAAACGTAAAGTAAAAGAGGAAGATTTTAGGGAGACATGGTTTCCAGGAAAAACCAAGAAGAGTTCAGATCTCAGTCGCCGCTAACAGAGTACTAATAATGGTGCGAAAACCAAGCACATCTGAAAGACGTTAGCTCTGCCGGAACATTGGTGTGGATTTGGGGCCATGTATGCAGGCGAGTGTGCAAAATGACATGCATGTTTTGGTCTTAAAGACGGTCAGGAGCAGAGAGCTAGGCGGGTTGGAAGTGTTCCCCCCTTCCTCCCTCGGGATGTACTTCCTTCTTTCCTTGCTAATAAATTAGTTGAATTCATATGGATCTAATCCAAAGTTTCAAAGAGCACATACAGGCAGTCCACAAAAAGAAACTTCCGCTTCACTCAGAGAAAATAATTCAGTCGGGAGGGACTGGAAGTCTCAGAGGAAAGGTCACCCTAGTGGCGCCCGAGCGGATATTGCGGTCGTCTTTCAAGCACATCACGCGTGTTAAGATCATTGAAAATGAGAAACAGAAAGACTTCAGATTGAAATACGATTACAACTATATATTTGAGCCGTTTGCTCCTTGATAAAATTGAAAATAACTAACATCCAATGATAAGACTAGTACTAATCATGGATCGGTAAAGTACGCTCGATCTAGCCTGGGCCTATGGATGAGTATTTTTGTCTCAGCGTAATAAAATCCAGGGCATAATAGAACTTGTAAACATCAAATGGTGGGGCGGCTCACAGTTCTGATTTTCAGTAACTCATGTCCTTCGATCAAATGGTTGCAATTTATCCACATATCTTCAAGCCATCCGTCTTACAGCCCGCGGGACTTAGTCAACGTGATTCAACTCCGCTCTCGTATGAAATCGAGGTGGATAGATAATTCCCCCACCCACCATTCCCGATAGACAATGACCGGTCTCGTGTCCACACGAAACCACTTGTCGCCTTCGGAGATCCGAGGCAGAGACAGATGGAATGATACAAGTGGTAGCCTTAATTTCTTCATAAGATAAAAATTACCCACGTTCTGTTACAAAGTAAACGCTTAAAAGCAGCAAGAAGGTCAAAAATTATAAAAACGTCTATGTAAACAAAATTTTAACTTCAAGTTACGCTACCTCGTAATTGAAAATTTGATGATTAACACAAGAATCTTCAAAGCGGTCTTAGTAACTTTAGGGAAATGACAATACGTTTTATCCAAGTTTTATTTCAGTATATACAATTTATGATGAACTGAAAAAGTTCCTTTTATTTTAGTGCTAGAATTTTGAAAGAACCTCATATACAAAATATCAGTTGACAGGGCACTTTGCGGCTGAATGTTTGTATGCAAGCGCTCCAGTTACGTATCGATAAACAAATTTTGTCTGTCTAGGCTTGCCGTGATATTTTTCCCCGTTATCAAAGGCATATCTGATATTAAGGATCACTACACCTGCAAGCCGACGCATCATCGAAAAAGTTCCTTTTCAGGATCTCCTTTGTGTGAAGCCGTAACCCTTTCAAAATCCTACCCGGCAATAGCACGTGAACAATTTTTAACTGGTTGGAGAAGACTTCTGCATTGTTGAAATAATTTTCTGGGAAATACGCTTGCTGAAGCAAGCAGTTATATTGAAATAACAAAAAACTGTTTTGATATGAAAGGGTTTTTTCCCCAGGGTCAAACTTGCCAATACTACTTGGGGGGGAAACGGTGATCTTCCCGCTCTCTGGTTTCGGCTATTTGTAAACCAAGGTGAAAATATTTGCGTCTACAGCGAGCTTAAGATGATAAGGGAATTTACCTCTGCTTTCGCTCTGGCCTCGTGATGGTCATGGTTAAAAATTCCATTTGTAACACTTACGAGAAAGAGACATCTGATTGAGCATGAATTGGAGGGAACTTTTGGGGTTATTTTCACTCTGAGAAATACGGAACCTGGATTCCCCTTTGCTGTGATTTTGTTTTCTAACAAAAGGATTTTCCCCAATAACACGATACTACGGTGGATATTTCATTCATTCTGATGGAGAACTTACGCACGAAATGTCAGCACCTTTAAAAAATCTTTACGATGGCCAATTTACTGTATCAGCTCTGTTGATTAAAACAAATTATCTTGGACGCAGCACCACAGTTTCTTTAGAAACTAACCTCTTTATCACAGTTTCTTTAGAAACTAACTCTCTTTATCACAGTTTCAGTTTTGTCAAACAACCTTATCCAGGCATTTTTAGAAACTGAAATATGACAAACTGAACGAGTATTTCATTCTGAGATCAAAGTCTTAGACAAGTGATTTTTCAGCCCCGTTGGTAACATATCTAACGATATACAACTCAAGAGACAATTTATGTGTATTGGCTAAGGAAATTGAATTGTTTGAAACATTTTTTCCATGAAACGATATCACTAAAGCGGGTGAGTGTGGTCATATTGAAATGTAAACCGTACAATATTTTGAAAGTGGGATGATGCAAGGGAATTTGCCCTCAACTGTAATTGTTACGTGATAGTTTGGATCCACGTATAAATAGCCTAACGCAGTCATTGCACCAATCTATTGAATAACAAACCTGCAGGCTGCTTGGCGAAGAGGTTTACAGTTATTTCTCAGCACTGAGCTAAATATGGCTTATCTAAAGATGATTTTTGGATCACTGGCATTTGCCGTAATAGGTGACATGATCGCAATGAAGTATTACCCACAGAATGGTTCCGCACTCGCCTGGAGCCTCGCCCAAGCTAGAGGAAGTTTGTCCAAGCTCCGCAACACCACCCATAGATTCGCAGAAGTGTTCTGCAATAAGCCAGACGAATGCAAACTTGCCATAGACCAGTTTTTTGAGGTAGTTTCTGACATTCCTCAGGACCTTGTGGAAGCATTTGTAAAGTTCTTAGAAAAGTACTCTAACGGACAGGAAAGCGACCGCGCTCAAGATGGTGGTACTGTGCAGAAGAACCCAGATGTAGCTAAAAAAGGTGCTGTTGATTTTACTAAAGAGACGGCAGAAGTGAAAGGAAACTTAGCGAAAGCAGAGAGCATAATTAACTCATTGACGTTTGCGAGTTACGATGAGAATAATCTGTGTGACCTCAAAGAGGGCATTCCTGAAAATGAATACGATGTGACTGTCGACGAAATTGCTGATTTGACCGGCATGCCGGGAAAACTTAAGAAGACAATCAAGCGAGCTAGAAATTTTACCGGTGGAAATATCCTTGCCGTTAATAAGCTGGGGTTCAAGGCCGACGATGGTAGCCTAGTCTTTGGTCGAGTAGCCGTCATCCGTCGAGGGAAAGTTCTAGACATGGCATACTCACTTCACTCGGTGGAATATGAGCTCATCTCAAAACAAGGCAACGCAGAAAATTTAAAGAAATTCTCGGAAAGCCTTGACAACGAGAATGATGATGAAGCGAAAGGAAACCCCAAGAAGGGAATTTCCATGGACCTGAGGAGCGACTTCATGGCGTTCTTCCATAAGCAGGCCATCGACGGATTTGTGAAGCATTGCGATTATGTTTTGAAAACCATGAACCACGGAGAAGACGTGGTACGTGCCCTTGGTGTCGACAAGAATGGCGGTACTACCGGAGAGGAAAAGAAAAACGAATGATTTCTAAAGACTATTTACGGCCGTGGAAAAGACGCTCGAATGAAAGGCAAGATAGACGGAAATTACACCACAACAACGAACTTTTTCGACATGTTTTGTCCTTTAGCATTTAGAACTGAAATAGGTATTAGCATATTATATCCTGCCATTAATCTTTTTCATTAGTCAGGTACGAAACTTTTGTCAGTACTTGCTTAGGAAAGCTTGAAGTCATTAGAACATATTTTGGTTTTGTGTCTATCTCAACATGTCATATTGAAGTCTAAGACATGCCTAAGGTAGAGTTTGTGTAATAAAATATCATCATTTTTATGGAGTTATGTGCATTTCGCCGTATTTTGCAATTGGAGAAATTTTGAAGAACTTCAACCTCTGGCCCGAAATAGCACAATTTCACCTGTCTAAGCTTGTTGCGATGTTTCTACCGTCATTAGATGTTTATCCTAATGATCAATAGAGCTGCAAGCTGACGCATCATTCAAAATTTTCTTTTCAGCATTTTTTTTTTTTTACTGAACGATAAATAAAACTCTCCGATGTGATCCCGTAGCACTTTCAAATTCCTTCCAGACAACTGCGTGTGAACAATTTTTAGTTGGTTTGCGAAGAGTCCTGCATTGTTTAAAATTATTTTTCTTAGAAATACTCCTGCTGTGGCAATCGAGTACTGTAGTAATCGAATACTGTTATATTGAAAACAAAACAAAAAGCTGTTTTGAAATGAAAGGGTTTTTTCCCCAGGGTCAAAACATCCCAATGGTACTTGAGAGGCAAACGGTGAGCTTTATGCTCTCCAGTTATCGCTATTTGTAAACTAAGGTAAAAAGGACTGCATTTACTGTTAAAATGAACTGACAAGAATTTTTTTTGTCTTCTACTTTGCCATAAGGCAGAGCTTTGTGTCATAAAATCTCAATATAATTATGCAGTTATGTCTTTCGCAGTATTTTGCGATTTTAGTTATTTTGAAGAAGTTCAACCTCTGGCCCAAAATAGGAGAGGTTCATGTATAAAACAAGACTTCTTAAATTCAAAACATATTGTAGCGTATAAATATTTTGAAGGCATGGTTTTCTTGCTGAATCATATCTTTAAAATGTGTATTACAGTTGTAAGTTTTTATAACCTTTACACTCGTAAATGATGAACCAATAAAACGAGGGTTCAAACTCAAACGTCTTGAACTTCATTGATATTTTGAAGGCGCATTTTTCTTACAAAATCATTGCTATAAAACGTATTTTACACTTGTTCAGTTGGTTTTGTCCTACAGAGTTTTTTTTTTCCAATCGTATTTTACACATCTGACAATTTCCACAAAACGAATGTTTCTCTTACAACTCCTCCGTTAGACCGTCTCCAGAACTGATGCAATCTCCCTCATTTGACTGGCAAATTTCTGGCAGGAAAAAAGAGAAAGAAGAATTGTTGCTTGTTTATAAGTTAGACAACTGTTTTTAGAAAAACCGTCCGTGATACGACTGATACCAAAATTGCTGTAGGAGTTGCATACATTGTATTTTCATCAAGTTAAGCTCAGGTAACGAGACATTTGAGACTTCTCACTTTTGCAGACACTCACCTTAAATTCGCCAATGGTCATTTCAAAGGACTTTGAAGTGATTGCCCCAGAGGGATCTGTCACTGTTACCAAAGCTGTGATGTAGGGAGAATTCAGACTGCGACAAGAGCTAGAACTCACTCCAACAGAAA